TGTGTACATAATTTCGCTCCACCACATGTACCACATGAGGTGCGAATGACAATAAAGAAACTCTGACTCTGACTCTGACTATCTCTTCTTTTGTCATTTTTAAGTCACGTGCAATTGTATTTTCATTTGACATTTTTGGTGTATCTAATTTGCTTAAAAAAATCATAGACATGTTTTTCTCATATGTTAGATTGTGCGTTATATAACTCTTAATAATAGTCCCTAAATGCTAGGTTAATGTCCTCCGGATCTGTGAGAGTATGTCCGTCTTTTACTATTGTTGTGATTGGTGATTTATATTCCATTTTTTTAATTTGCCATGCTAATATTTTACCTGCTTTTTCACCCTGCTTGTAAAATGTCTGACTGAGTCTGAGTAGACTAGATGTGGCCCTGGAGGCTGAGAATTTGTCATATTCTGCTCTCTAGTATAATAGTTCTTTAATTGTGTGTCACTGGTATTATTAACTTTAAATAGTTGTTTCTTAATTGTATCTTCCAATTGTTTCCTAAATTCTTGAGTTTTTTCGATTTATATCCTGTGTAACATATTATGTGTCCCCTAAAAAATGCCTTAAACGCTTCCCATTTAATACTTGTTTGTATTGTATTAATTTGCAAATAGAGGTCAATTTGTTCTCCCAAGTACTTGACCAGATCTTCATCTTGCAGCCATTTGTGTTGGAATTGCCATCTTGGAGGATCCTTTCTCAATTTATTATCTCTATAAATCAGATAGCATGGTGCATGATCTGAAATTGCTATATTATCATAAGAGCAGTCAGATATTTTGCTTTTAGTTCTGCAGAAATTAGAAACAGATCTATCCTGGAGTAGGTTTGGAATGTACTCAAATAACAGGAGTAGGATTTAGCTGCTGGATTTCTTTCCCTCCAAATGTCTAATAATTTAACTCTTTCATAAATCTGTGTATTGTAGCTCTACAGTATGTGTTTGGTCAACACCCGTGGTTCTGTCTATACGTGGATTGAGTTTACAGTTTAGGTCACCTCCTATTAAATGTAGTCCTTTCAAAGATGATGTAAAAAATAAATTGTTATAGAATCTACTGTCATCAACATTTGGGCCATAAATATTGGTCAGGATCAAGTTTTCTGATAAAAGGGTACCTTGAACAATCAGGAATCTTCTTCTTTAATAACATTCTTCACTTGAAATGGGACTGATTCATGAATTCACATCAGGACTCCTCTAGACTCGGATGTATATGGTGCCGTAAATATGTTACCCCTCCACTTCCTCTTAACAGACAAACTATTTTCATCAAGAAGATTTGTTTCTTGCATGAATATCCTTTTACTATCCATATCTTTTAGTCTATTCATAAACTGCTTAATTTTTTGAAATCTTTGAAGGCCTCTACAGTTCCACGACACTAATTTGAAATTATTTACTTGAGACATATAACCGTTTTAAAAGGTGACCACACAATACCATTTGTAATTTCTTACTTAAGGGCACTGTAAAACTGTAAGGATGGTACAAAGTTTGTTTTCTCAGTCATCCAGGTATATAACAACAAAAAAGGTTGAATCATGTCATCTGGACTTCGTTTTTTTTGTTAAAAAGAAACGTTTCGCCCCTCATCCAAGAGGCTTCGTCAGTCTGAGGCCTAGCCATCTGGTATTACCCAGAAGCCACCCTGACTCTTGTGTTTCAAGCCTGCCTCAGATACCCCTGAAGTCTGTGTTTTTGAAACCATTAGTGAAAAGGCCAGACTTCAGGGGTATCTGAGGCAGGCTTGAAACACAAGAGTCAGGGTGGCTTCTGGGTAATACCAGATGGCTAGGCCTCAGACTGACGAAGCCTCTTGGATGAGGGGCGAAACGTTTCTTTTTAACAAAAAAAACGAAGTCCAGATGACATGATTCAACCTTTTTTGTTGTAAGGATGGTACTTTTCTGTGGCCCGGTTTGTGTATGTTTCCCTCGTGCTCCCTCATTAGTGCCACCTGTGTCTCGTCCCAGCTGTTTGTTATCACGTCTCGTCTTGTCCCTGTATTTAAGCCGTCCTTTCTGTCTTGTTCTTCGTCGGGTCGTCTTCGTTGGGTACTCTTCGTTGAGTCTCAGAGTCTTTCCCTGAGTCTTCCTGGTTCCTCGAGTTCCCCGTGTCTCTCGTGTCTCCTGAGTTCCCCGTGTCTCCTTCCTATGTCCATGTAAGTTTTGCTGCCCCGTCAGCTTGTTTATTTTGTACTTTCGTTTTATATTAAAATCCTATTTTTGTATTTCTGCTGAGTTGAGTCCCTGTTCTGCACTCTGGGTTCGCTCCTGACACAAATCCTAACAAAAACCAGTTACTGATAACTAAAACAAAAACTTAAACTAAAACTTTCTTCATCCCGTCCCTCCCCCTCCCATTCCTGGGAAACCCTCCCCACTATCATCTTGTGATAACTGTTCGAGGAACCTCTGAGCCACTGCTCAGGCCCCCATCAACCTTATTAAGATTAAATGTTAAATATTATAATGATTATCAACCAACAGGGTATTGATATAACTATGAGTCATGAGGAAAACAATATTAATAATGATTTTTTTTTAATCAAAAAAAGAAAAAAGGGTTATCCTATCAGCCATGCTTTGGATAATAATCAACTCAGGTATTTATTCAAATGACTCAGATCCTTATATTTCAAATCAGCATATGAAAGTTATTGAAGCTGTACATTTGGAAAATTATTAAACATTCTGCTAAGAAGTCAAATTAGTTGGTTGTTAGTTGAGAATTAGCTTCTACTGATATATACAAATATTATTAAATGGTGTATATTTACCCTGCATGTTAAATTAACAAATTTGTTCACTCTCTCGTTCCATTTGGGAACATTTTGACCGCAGTTCCATTCATAACTCGAGTTTATTCCGTAATTAGTTACCGTCACTCTCCTCTGGGATAATATTTGGAGCATATGAAGTAGACTAAGTGCCGGACAAATCGCAGCCCTGAGAAAAAACGTCCTTCTTGGGACGGCAGGCCACTGGTTCCTCACCTGCATCTGCTGTGGTAATGAGAAAAATGGATGCATATCCTGGTGGTACAAAAACATCTTCCTTCTGATGAGGTAACAACGTTAAGTGCCAACTTTGTTTAGATAATTTGATTCACAAATCTGAGATAAGCTTATCTAAAGTTTAACGTTAAGAGCGAAGAACTTTAGTCCAAACTGAATCTAACCTCCTTCTTAAAGTATCCATATTTACATCATTCACTTTCTAAAATAATATTACTGGCTGGTCATTCATATTCCATACGTGCCATAATTTCCATTGTCATCATTC